AAAGGCGGCCAGGTAACTTTACTTTTAGCACCAATTCGATAAAGCAAATACATCTTAATATCAGACAGTTGACACATTATTAATTAAGGATATGTATACCCCATAGACATAGAGAACAAGATGATATAGTCTGCTAGCCAAAAGTATTTGAACAGCATTTGGATGACAAAAGTGGTGCCAAAGTGATATTTACTGCCAAAATTCTTTGATCATAGATGTTGGCAAAGGATGACCAAGGGATGTACAGTTGCAAGAAAAAGTATGTGAACCCCTTGGGATTACGTGGAGTTTTGCATGAATTGGTCATAAAATGTGCTCTGAACGTCATCTAAGTCACAACAATAGAAGAACACAGTCTGCTGAACATAATACTACACAAACATTAGATGTTGCCATGGTTTAATTGCACATAACATGTAAACATTCACAGTGCAGGGAGGAAAAAGTATGTGAACCTTTGGACTTAATAACTGGTTGACCCTCCTTTGGCAGCAATAACCTCAACCAAACATTTCCTGCAGTTGCAGATCAGACCTGCACAACGATCTGGAGTAATTTTGGACCACTCCTCTTCACAAAACTGTTTCAGTGTAGCAATATTCTTGGGATGTCTGGTGTGAATCGCTCTCTTAAGGTCATGCCACAGCATTTCAATCGGGTTGAGGTCAGGACTCTGACTGGGCCACTCCAGAAGGCGTATTCTGCGCTGTTGCAGCCATTGTTTTGTTGAATTACATGTATGCTTTGGGTCATTGTCCTGTTGCATCACCCATCCTCTGCGGAGCTTCAGTTGGCGGACAGATGGTCGTACGTTTTCCTGCAAAATGCCTTGATAAACTCTGGAATTCATTTTCCTATCAATGACAACAATCCGTCCAGGCCCTGAGGCAGCAAAGCAGCCCCAAACCATGATGCTCCCTCCGCCATGTTTTACAGTGGGCATGAGGTTTTGATGTTGGTGTGCTGTGCTTTTTTTTCTCCACACATAGTGTTGTGTGTTTCTTCCCAAACAACTCAATCTTGGTTTCATCTGTCCACAGTATATTTTGCCAGTAGTGCTGTGGAACATCCAGGTGCTCTTTTGCAAACTTCAAACATGCTGCAATATTCTTTTTGGACAGCAATGGCTTCCTCCGTGGTGTCCTCCCATGTACTCCATTCTTGTTTAATGTTTTCCTTATTGTAGATGTGTCAACAAAAATGTTAGCATGTGCCAGAGATTTCTGTAGGTCTTTAGCTGACACTCTGGGATTCTTCTTTACCTCATGCAGCATTCTGCGCTGTGCTCTTGCAGTCATTTTTACAGGACGACCACGCCTAGGGAGAGTAGCAACAGTGATAAACTTTCTCCATTTGTAGACAGTCTGTCTTACCGTGGACACATGGACATCAGGGCTTTTGGAGATACTTTTGTAACCCTTTCCAGCTTCATGCAAGTCAACAATTCTTGATCATAGGTTTTCTGAGAGCTCTTTTGTGCGAGGCATGGTTCACATCAGACAGTGCTTCTTGAAACCAGTAAACCCAAAAACAGGTGTGTGTTTTTTAAGGGCAGGACAGCTGTCAGCAACACATCCAATATCATCACACTGATTGGAGTCAAGGTTGGCTCACTCCTGGCTCCAATTAGCTGTGGGAGAAGTCATTAAGCTAGGGCCTCACATACTTTTTCCTCCCTGCACTGTGAATGTTTACATGTTATGTGCAATTAAGCCATGGCAACATCTAATGTTTGTGTAGTATTATGTTCAGCAGACTGTGTTCTTCTATTGTTGTGACTTAGATGACGTTCAGAGCCCATTTTATGTCCAATTCATGCAAAACTCCACGTAATCCCAAGCGGTTCACATACTTTTTCTTGCAACTGTAACTATTTTTATGCATGGATAGAGTCTAGGCCTAATAAGTGCTAAGAAGGAAAACTTAACAGAAACATTTAACCTTACTCTTGCATTTGGGTAGGTTTCTGATGGTCCATTGTGAACAGACATCATAAGGTCCCAAAGCACAGCTACTTGCCAGGTGGTTTCTACTGGACATAAAAGGGTCTTAAGCAAGAGTTACTATTTAAATTTTAGTATTTGCTAGTGATCCTGTGGTGGATTGATTGTTCAGCTGTTTTGGGGCTCTCTTGGACTCTGATTATTGTTTGCTTCTGCCTGCTTCTGGGTGGTGTCCATGGCAATATTGTAAGAGCTAAACTAATCAGAGTTATGAATATTTTTACTTTCCCTGGCCAACCACTTGGAGGTTCATTGCCAGTGGTGGAAGCTGTGAGAGGATAAATATTCAGGAGTAACCATAGGATGGCAGACAGAATCTGTCAGGCCTGCTGCCTGATGAGGGTGACCATGTGTCTGGACAAAGGCCTAGGTTTGAGGCCTTGTATGCTGAACAAGGTCAGAAAACCACCACAGATGAACTTCAGCTTGATTGAGGAACCTGAAAAGCTGGGTGAAGCTTAGTTCTTGACTGAAGTTTGGTGGCTAAAGCAGTGAGTAGCTAAACCAACTAGTGTCTTGCAATGAGCTGATTTAACAGAAAGCCGGGTTGGCTTAAATATTAAAAGTTTATATGTGAGGATTAAGTACTTTTTGGCCCTCATCTGGGATCTGCCAAGTCCATGGATGTCCTTTGCCCTAAACCTCTCTCCCAGGAGTATTGAGTGAATAGACTCCATTTCTTACATCGAAAAGTACATTGCCAATATACACTATATTGCCAAATGTATTGGGACGCTGCCTTTACACGCACATGAACTTTAATGGCATCCCATTCTTAGTTTGTAGGGTTCAATATTAAGTTGGCCCACCATAACAGCTTCAGCTCTTATGGGAAGGTTGTTCACAAGGTTTAGAAGTGTGTCTATGGTAATGTTTGACCATTCTTCCAGAAGAACCGAGAACAAGAAGGACTGGCTCTCAGTCTCCGCACTAATTCATCCCAAAGGTGTTCTATCTGGATGAGGTCAGGACTCTGTGCAGGTCAGTCAGGTTCCCCCACCCAAAACTCACTCATCCATGTCTTTATGGACTTTGCTTTGTGCACTGGTGCACAGTCATGTTAATAGAGGAAGGGGCCATCCCCAAACTGTTCCTACAAAATTGGGAGCATGAAATTGCCCAAAATGTCTTAGTCTGCTGATGCCTTAAGAGTTCTCTTCAATGGAACTAAGGGGCCAAGCCCAACCCCTGAAAATCAACCCCCACCATAATCTTCCCTCCACCAAACTTTACACTTGGCACAATGCAGTCAGGCAAGTACCGTCCTCCTGGCAACAGCCAAACCCAGACATGACCATCGGATTTCCAGACAGAGAAGCTTGATTCCTCACTCCAGAGAACCTGTCTCCACTGCTCTAGAGTCCAGTGTCGGCATGATTTACACCGCTGCATTCGACACTTTGCATTGCACTTGGTGATATAAGGCTTGGATGCAGCTGCTCGGCCATGGAAACCCATTCCATGAAACTCTCTATGCACTGTTGTTGTGCTAATCTGAAGGCCACATGAAGTTTGGGAGTCTTCAGCTAATCACTCTGCAAACAGGTGGCGACTTCTGCTCACTGTGCGCTTCAGCATGCGCTGACCCCACTCTGTCATTTTATGTGGCCTACCACTTTGTGGCTGAGTTGCTGTTGTTCCCAGTTGCTTCCACTTTGTTAAAATACCACTAACAGTTGACCGTGGAGTATTTAGTAGCAAATAAATTTAACCGATGGACCTATTGCACAGGTGGCAAACTATCAGGGTACCACACTTGAATTCACTGAGCTCCTGAGAGCGACCCATTCTTTCCTGAGAGAGACCCATTCTTTCACAAATGTTTGTAGAAGCAGTCTGCATGCCTAGGTGCTTGATTTTATACACCTGTGACCATGGAGGTGATTGGAAAACCTGAATCAAATGATTTGGACGTGTGTCCCAATACTTTTGGCAATATAGGTGTCCGTTTATGACACAGAGAATAGCTGCGATTCAGAGGATCACAGCTATTCTCTGGTCATTCACAGTTTATGACACTCAGGAGATCAGTGGAGAACATGTTCAGCCCTTCACTGGAGATCTGTGTTCTCCCTCCAGATTCTTCAGCCCAGAGCTGGAGAATCGGAGGGACCGCAAACTAAGCAGCGATAATTTACCTCTGTTTAGTAAACTGATCTTTTACTGTAATCTCGCGAGATTATAGTAAAATCAGCCGTTTTCCAGCGTTTGGAGACCGTTCTCCAGCATTTGGAGACCGTTCTCCCTTCGTTCGGAGAACTGCTTCATAAACTGCATTCACAGGAGAACTGTTTTTCGAGAATGCCAGAGAACTGAGCAGCGATCTGTTACTGCTGGTTCATAAACGGACACCATAGTGTATATTGTACATACCAACCATTCTTTCTCAGCACATTGCAAGTCAGTGTGGTGCAATGCACAACCATCACAAGGTGCGTTGGGGTTCAATTCACAATGCACCGCATCACACCAATGGACATAAAATGCATTGCCACAAAGCCATAGTGCAAATAGGTCCTACATAACAGTGCAGAAATCTGCTTGGATGACAGGAGGTTTACATGTTAAGCCCAGATCAACTAATCAGAGGATGGACAGGCATTCAGGGGGAGGCCAGGAGTGATCATACTCAAAGCCCAGCCTAAGGTTTCCCTCCCATTACTTGGGGGACCACTCTCATATCTCTGGCCAAGGTGTTCTATTCTGCTAGTCCCAGTGGCGCAAGGAAACAATGTGAGCTGCCAGGTGAGGGGCAGGGGCAAGGCTGGGGCAAATCTGAACAATAGTGCTCCCTTCCTTCACAGCATTGTGAAAAAAAAATGAAGAGCTTGAGCAGCAAGTAAGGTAAGCTGTTACAAAGGAATGCTGCACACTCACTTAGTTAGCTGGATGTACCCGATGATCCAGTGACAACCAGGCTGGGGCTAAAGAGGTAACACAGCCTTATTGAACCAACTGTGTCCCTCGGACACAGCGGATCACCGATCACGGAAGCCGAAGTTGTCGGCTCGGTCATGTGATCAGCTGTATCCAATCACAGCTGATCACATGTAAACAGGGAAATGTCGGTTATCGGCATTTCTCTCCTCTCGAGCTGTCACGCTGACAGCTCGAGAGGAGAGGAGATCCTGTAATCAGCTGTCTGCAGAGGGGACATGTACACTGATCATAAGAGCACTGATGATCAGTGTGCCCTGATGATCAGTGTAGCCCCAGCAGCGCCACCTGTCAGTGTCCATCAGTGCCTTGTGTCAGTGCTCATCAGTGCCTCGTGCCAGTGCCTACCGATGCACATCAATGCCACATATCAGTGCCCATCTGAGCTGCCTTTCAGTCCCACCTATCAGTGCCAATCAGTGCCACCTATCAGTGCTGCCAGTGCCACCTATCAGTTCTGCCAATCAGTGCTACCTATCAGTGCCTGTCAGTGCTGCCTATCAGTGCCAGTCAGTGCCACCTAACATTGCCAGTCAGTGCCGCCTATCAGTGCCAGTCAGTGCCGCCTATCAGTGCTGCCTATCAGTGCCATATATCAGTGCCATGTATCATTGCTGCCTTTCAGTGCCCATCAGTGATGCCTGTCAATGCCCATCAGTGCCACCTACCAGTGCCTCCTCATCAGTGCCCATCAGTGCGTGCCACCTATCAGTGCCCATCACTGCAGCCTCATTAGCGCATATCAGTGAAGGAGAAAAATCACTTATTTACAAAATTTTATAACAAAAACTAAGTAACTTTTTGTTTTCCAAATTTTCAGTGGTTTTTGGTTTGTTTAACAAAAAATAAAATCCCAGAGGTGATTAAATACCACCAAAATAAAGCTCTATCTGTCACAAAAAAAAAAAAGATGATAAAAATTTCATATGGGTACAGTGTTGCATGACCGCACAATTGTCATTCAAAATGTGACAGTGCTGAAAGCTGTAAATTGGCCTGGGTAGGAAGGGGGTATAAGTGCACTGTAGGCTAGCGGTTAAAGTTGCAGAACAGGAAATATCTTTAGATAAGAGGAAATCACACTTGCAAACAGGGCTGTTTGCAATTAGATGTGGGATACCCGACAGGGGACCCCTGTGATTAGCTGTGGGTGGGAAGCCCCACTGAAAAAATGAAAGGCTATTCATGGCCATTTCCATGTAATTGCTCATGGAACAATTACCTGTGAATGGCTGGCCTTGGATGCATCACTTCATGCTGTTAATTAACAAAGGCTTCAAGTAACACTATACAACATCTTTATTCTCCAAAAATAATCTATACATAACCATCATTAAATGGCCGATAATCTATTTTTCATCAAATCATTTCTTTCTGCATTTTTCTGTCCCTAGCATCTTTCATGAGCTTTTGAACCTCTCCTTTCCAACCTTAGTTTTGCTTACTTGGAACAAGCAGTGCATGGTGATTGTAGTTATGTGTGCTGCTTTATGCACACTGCAAATCCCATAGTCCACAGTCCCTATTCCTTCTCTCTGATTGTTTGCTCAGCCCATATTCAACCCATAGGACCATCAAACTCTATAAAAAAAAAAAAAAAAGAGATCTAGCCTGTAAACCTATATTCGGAAACCAGCACAAGTCATGGAGGGAAGTATGCTGCCATGGATACGTAACAGAAAGGGAAAATTACAGAAAGGTAAATATACAAGTTTTTCATTTTCCTGGTGCCCACATAGCAGCATACATGAAGTGCTTGGCTGAGAACCTGGAGGTGCCAAAAAAAAAAAAAAAGCCTCCAGAGTGACTCAAGGACCAATCATTGTTGTGAAAGTTCCTTGAAAGATAATTGGCCTGCATATTTAAAAGGCTGGAATGCAGTTCTCCCCAAAATAGACCACAAGAGACCTGCTGTAAGAACCTTATTGGTTTTTGATGCAGGCCACTGCCTCCCTGTTGTCCATTTGGAGTACCCTTTGTCTCAAAATTGGGGCTAGATGGCTTAAAACCATCCAGGCTGCCCATAGCTCCAAAATGTTGGAGAATATGCCCTCCGATGGCAGATGTCACTTCCCTTTGACCATTATTCCTCCACTGCTGGTGCCCCAACCTAGATGACAGACATAAGGATGGTCCATGAGAAATGCTCTAGAGCACAGATGTCAAAGTGGCAGTCCTCCAGCTGTTGCCAAACTGCAAATCCCATGAGGCATTGCAAGATTGACAGTTACAAGCATGACTCCCAAAGGCAGAGCATAATGGGACTTGAAGTTTCGCAACAGCTGGAGGGCCGCCAGTTTAACACCCTTGCCATAGAGGGTAATAGTACAAAAGGTTCTTGGATCTTATCCACCACCACGGACTGGACTTCAATTCTGCTGCGACAAACATCATCATCTGGCCACCCCAGTCTCCCTGACCGAGTGGCTGCTCTGATGTGACAATGTCATCACTCTAGCAGACACAGAGGAGGAAATACACAAAGCACTGAAACATGTCATGAGAAAAAGGGCACATGTAACATGCCCTAACAGAGAGCAGGCCAGCTATTTAAAAGCTGAGGAAAGTAAAAGACAGAAAATAGCCATATACTGCATTGTTAGCAACCAGGGACCCAAAATAACATAATATGCCCAAAAGAAGATAAACAGAAAAGGGGTACCCACACTCATTGGTAACTTTAGCAGTCTATATCATAGGACTTCATCCAGGAGAATTTGAACCTTAATGGACACATCTGGAAGGTGTTAGTAAGGACTGTAGCTATAACAATTGTAGTCCTGTAGAGGACAGAAAAAAGAATGGAGTGAGGGGCTAGATCTCTTTCTTTTTTTAGAGTTATAATGGTCCTGTAGGTTTCATGTGGGTGGAGCAACCAACCATAATATTGCTGCCATGTGATCACTAGGAGAGAGAAATTTGGAAATTTAGAGGAGGATGGGAGCAAGAGAAGGCATTTTTTGAGTTAAGAATATAAACTTGAATATTTTTTTACTTTTAAAACCAGAATTTATTTAGTGTCACTTTCAGTTGTCTTTTAACCACAAGCCTACAGGGCACTTATACCCCCTTCCTACCCAGGCCAATTTCCAGCTTTCAGTGCTGTTGCACTTTGAATGACAATTGCGCGGTCATGCAACACTGTACCCATATGAAATTTTTATCATTTTTTGTGACAGATAGAGCTTTATTTTGGTGGTATTTTTTCTTAAACAAACCAAAAACACTGAAAATTTTGAAAAAAAAAAGTTTTTTCTTAGTTTTTGGTTTAAAATTTTGTAAATAAGTGATTTTTCTCCTTCACTGATGTGCGCTAATGAGGCTGCAGTGATGGGCACTGATAGGCTGCACTGATGGACACTGATAGGTGGCACTGATGAGGAGGCACTGGTAGTGGCACTGATGGGCATTGACTGGCATCACTGATGGGCACTGAAAGGCGGCACTGACTGGCACTGTTAGGTGGCACTGACTGGCACTGATAGGCGGCACTAATAGGTGGCTCTGATTGGCAGCACTGATAGGAGGCACTGATTGGCATTGATAGGTGGCACTGATGGGTGACACTGAAAGGAAGCTCAGATGGGCACTGATATGTGGCATTGATGTGGCACTGATGGGCACGTGGCACTGATGGAATGATGGGCACGTGGCACTGATGGACACTGACAGGTGGCGCTGCTGGGGCTACACTGATCATCAGGGCACACTGATCATCAATGCTCTGATGATCAGCGTACATGTCCCCTCCGCGGAATGCCAATTACCGGCTCTCCTCTCCTCTCGATCTGTCAGCATGACAGCTCGAGAGGAGAGAAATGTCGATAACCGGCATTTCCATGTTTACATGTGATCAGCTGTGATTGGACACAGCTGATCACATGACCGAGCCAACATCTTCGGCTCTTTCCGTGGATCAGTGATCCGCTGTGTTAGCCAATCGCCGCGCTCCGCGCTCCGGGAGCGCGGTGAGAATTGGAGAACATTATAAAGACGTCCTCCCAGAACGAGAGAACCATCTTGCGTCTATCATAGTACTATATGGCGGGCAGGAGGTGGTTAAAGAGTAACTCCATTGTTAAGAGAAAAACATTCTCCCCTGGGTGATCTATGTACATTGCAAGGATTTTAAACAAACTTTGTTTAAGATTTCTACCTTTTGTTAGTCTGAAGTAATAGCTGTTTGTCTGTGTCCATGTGCAGTGTGAATCTGTATTGGAGTTATATCATAATTATCAGTCAGCTACTGCACCTGCAGGGCTTTAGTGAAGAAATTGGCAAGGTCTGCATCCCTTTAGATGTGATATCCCTTTGGGAGTATCTCACCAAAAGTGGTATTTTTGTTGCAGGGGATGCCAGAATATGATTTGTATCTTAGTGCAGACATTTTCAGGGAGCGTTTCGTACATAATCTGTGTACAGAACGCCTCCAAGTAGTTATTTTGCAATGCATTTTACAGAAAATTACAGAGCTACAGATTAAACATAAAAGGTATTTTTTGATTACAATATGACTTGAGTCACAATTGTATACGTTATAGTATTTTTTTTCCACCAAAGTGGAATTACCCCTCCTGAGGATTTACCCCCCTTCCTGACCAGGCCATTTTTTTGCACCTCGCACGTGCCCCCCCCCCCCCCCCCCCCATATATACGTGATTTTGCGTACCCAGGCTAACCTTAACATCTTATATGTTACACCCATATTCAGGGTATAACATGTTATGAATAGACTGACCCCCGCTCCCCCGCTTTGACAGCTAGTGGGGTATCTTCTCCTCCCGCTAGCTGCCAAATTTTTTTTTAAAAGTGGCTGTGTGGGGCTCTGTCTGCCCAGTCACCTCACACATTCACAGTCCTCTGTAAATGAGAAACTACAAGTCCTGACAGCCTTAGCGGCTGATAGCCGATTGTTGGTGTATTGGTTTACAGGCTCCAGCAACAAAAAATAATAAATGCACATTTTTTTACCTGCAAAAAAATGTGCATTTATTTTTTAGCAAAAGGTGAACTTTTCCTTTAAATAATTCTGACTGCACCTTTAAATAAAACCCAGCTCCAGGATATAAGTAACCCCACTTCCAAAACCCTTCTAACTGAACCCCTGGTATGAAATAATGAAAACACTATCCAAATGCCCATTTTTTTACCTGAAACCATAGTCATGTGCCAAATGTTCTCTATTCTGCTTTCTTCTAGTGGTCCCTTATCAGATGTTCACATTGCTGCCTGCATGATGTAGACATCTCCTATTGGTAAAATTGACACTTCCAGTTGCAAGGAGAACACTTGGAGACAGTGAGGGGACTGGTACCCAAGTAAACAACGAGTGGGGAAAAAGCCTGGGCCCCAGGGCAGGATATTAGCTTTACTCACAGAAGAAGCTATCACTTTGATATATTACCCTGACAGATGGAAAGACTGAGGAGTAAGATAAGTGATACACAATGCACTATTTAAATTTCATTTTTGATGTTATTTTATTTAATATTTTTGCCCTGGATTTTGTACATATTTGATAGTGATATTTGTGTACTTTTTTACATCTTTTGCTGAAAACAAATTCTTCAATAAATACAGATTGAACATAAATTTCATTTTTGTCTGGAGTTGGGCTTTAAGAGTTTTTAAGTGTCTGTTATCAGCACTGATCTCAGGCAGGAGTAGCCTTACAGCTTGACAGGGAGAGAATACAATAAGTAAAATAAATAATCAAAAATGAAGGCATTTTGGAGAGGTAGGGTTGCACTAATACAGCAATTTGCAAGTGGAGATTAAAAAAATGCCCACTGGTGATTATTTTCTTTAAATCAGAATTCAAAAATTGAATGAGCATCCCGTGCGTCCCTGTGCCTTTAAGGAGGGTTCCCTCCTGGCAAACCTGCCTTTAATCTACCCACTGCTATATATGTGCTTCAGCTTGGAGACTGAAAATTATAGAGTTAGGATTGCAGTACACAGAGGAGTCTTGAGTAGGCACTGTGGCATATACGCATATATTGGCAAATGTGTGCAAGCAAAACCCTGTTTTTAACTTGAATTGTTAGATAGTGTGAAGTTGGGGTTTTCTTGCAGGCTACCTGGTAAGTGTGTTTATGATGTTTGTTGCCCTTCCATGTGCACAATACTGCAAAGGCTAGTTATAGGTTGGAGTTGTTGCCACTTTTTTGTACAAAGGTTGATTACACAGGGACACAATTAACTGACAGGGACAGTGTTGTCAGCCTACAACTGGAAGTACTAGCACAAGGATCTTCATGGCAAGATCACAAAGTATTATTTCAGTAAAAGCTGCAGATTTAAATATATGAAAATGACTTTTGAAAATACATTAGTATATTAATGTTTATATGAGATTTCAGTGATTGGGTTTACATATATGGTAATTGTAAATTCTAGTTGTAAAAACACATATGCAAAAAACTGGTGCAGCTCTGTATAGAAACCGGTTTTCCAGGTTTTTTTGTCAAAGCTTAACCGCTTGCCGCCCTGCCACTGTGTATATACGTGTGCAGGGCGGCAGTGGAGCACAAAACCACGTTTAAAAAACGGGTTCCGCGCTCCCGACACTTTCGCCGGCAGGGGGCGCGCGCGCAGCGCGCGCTCCCGCCGACCCGCGGGTGACACTATTTGATCCAGGAGGGATCAATCATTAGATTTCAGCCAGTGATTTCTGGCTGAAATCACATGATCGGTCCCTGTCCTATCCTGTCCTGTGTTGACATACACACAGGGCAGGATATGATGTCATTCTTCTCTGCCTGGACACATTCCGTTCCAGACAGAGAAGAAGACAATCAAAAGGTGAGTACACAAGCACTACACTACAGTTAGAACACTCTAGGACACATTTAACCCCCTGATCGCCCCCCCCCCCTCCAGTTAACCCTTCACTGTCCTGTCACCAGTGTCACTGATCAGTGAAGCGATTTTTACTGATCAGTGTCGCTGGCGACTTCCGATAGAGTTTAGCGCCCCTCCCAGATAGCGCCAGATTGCCCGCCAGTACACCAGTAATCCCGTTTAACCCCTTGATCGCCCCCCCCCCAGTTAACCCCTTCACTGCCCTGTCACCCAGTGTCACTGATCAGTGAACCAATTTTTACTGATCACTGTATCAGTGTCGCTGGCGACTTCCGATAGAGTTAGCGCCCCTCCCAGATAGCGCCAGTTTGCCCGCCAGTACACCAGTAATCCCGTTTAACCCCTTGATCGCCCCCCCTCCAGTTAACCCCTTCAGTGCCCTGTCACCCAGTGTCACTGATCAGTGAACCAATTTTTACTGATCACTGTATCAGTGTCACTGGCGACTTCCGATAGAGTTAGCGCCCCTCCCAGATAGCGCCAGCTTGCCCGCCAGTACACCAGTAATCCCGTTTAACCCCTTGATCGCCCCCCCCCCCCAGTTAACCCCTTCACTGCCCTGTCACCAGTGTCACTGATCAGTGAACCAATTTTTACTGATCACTGTATCAGTGTCGCTGGCGACTTCCGATAGTGTTAGCGCCCCTCCCAGATAGCGCCAGACTTTGCCCGCCAGTACACCAGTAATCCCGTTTAACCCCTTGATCGCCCCCCCTCCAGTTAACCCCTTCACTGCCCTGTCACCAGTGTCACTGATCAGTGAACCAATTTTTATTGATCACTGTATCAGTGTCGCTGGCGACTTCCGATAGAGTTAGCGCCCCTCCCAGATAGCGCCAGTTTGCCCGCCAGTACACCAGTAATCCCGTTTAACCCCTTGATCGCCCCCCCCTCCAGTTAACCCCTTCACTGCCCTGTCACCCAGTGTCACTGATCAGTGAACCAATTTTTACTGATCACTGTATCAGCGTCGCTGGCGACTTCCGATAGAGTTAGCGCCCCTCCCAGATAGCGCCAGTTTGCCCGCCAGTACACCAGTAATCCCGTTTAACCCCTTGATCGCCCCCCCCCCCAGTTAACCCCTTCACTGCCCTGTCACCAGTGTCACTGATCAGTGAACCAATTTTTACTGATCACTGTATCAGTGTCGCTGGCGACTTCCGATAGAGTTAGCGCCCCTCCCAGATAGCGCCAGCTTGCCCGCCAGTACACCAGTAATCCCGTTTAACCCCTTGATCGCCCCCCCCAGTTAACCCCTTCACTGCCCTGTCACCAGTGTCACTGATCAGTGAACCCAATTTTTACTGATCACTGTATCAGTGTCGCTGGCGACTTCCGATAGAGTTAGCGCCCCTCCCAGATAGCGCCAGTTTGCCCGCCAGTACACCAGTAATCCCGTTTAACCCCTTGATCGCCCCCCCCCCCAGTTAACCCCTTCACTGCCCTGTCACCAGTGTCACTGATCAGTGAACCAATTTTTACTGATCACTGTATCAGTGTCGCTGGCGACTTCCGATAGTGTTAGCGCCCCTCCCAGATAGCGCCAGATTGCCCGCTAGTACAGCAGTAATCCCATTTAACCCCTTAATCTCCCCCCCCCCCCCAGTTAACCCATTCACTGCCCTGTCACCAGTGTCACTGATCAGTGAACCGATTTTTACTGATCACTGTATCAGTGTCGCTGGCGACTTCCGATAGTGTTAGCGCCCCTCCCAGATAGCGCCAGATTGCCCGCCAGTACACCAGTAATCCCGTTTAACCCCTTGATCGCCCCCCCCCCTCCAGTTAACCCCTTCACTGCCCTGTCACCAGTGTCACTGATCAGTGAACCAATTTTTACTGATCACTGTATCAGTGTCGCTGGCGACTTCCGATAGTGTTAGCGCCCCTCCCAGATAGCGCCAGTTTGCCCGCTAGTGCACCAGAAATCCCATTTAACCCCTTGATCGCCCCCCAGTTAACCCCTTCACTGCCCTGTCACCAGTGTCATTGATTACAGTGAACAGATTTT